TGACGTTTTGGGATCCAATTTTGGCTACGCGTCGCTCGTTGATCTATTTGGGAGTTACAATGACTGCCTTATGTATTTGTGATTATTGCAAAAATAGTACCGCAGATTATTTTTGGATTGACTTGGTTCTCGATTATTTGAGCTACGCGTTGCTCTAAGATTTTTTCATCCCTATTCCGAACGAGCAAAGGGTCATTTGATTAAACGCAAACAGACGAGGTAATTTTTGTTTTGCTCGAACCAGGACAATCGCGTTTTGGTGGTTGCAGTACTCTGATATGCCCGTCACTCGGAGAATGTATATGACGAACAAGGACTTTGATGACGAACTGCGGGGATCCGACTACAGCACTGGAGAATCTCGGGAAGTCCCTTTACATATTTTTTCTGTTTATCGCTCCAGGGTTAGTGGGTCTAGTCAGCCGAGTGACAAGTGGAAGCTTCGCTTATCATTATTTGAAATAAAGGAACGCCATCTGCGAGAGAAAATGGAGCAGCAGATGAAAGAACTCCAATAAAGGCTTAGAAGCAAACTGCTAGCAGTAAGAGAATAATTGGAGACTGCAATGCCCGCAATGAAAATGGAGGATAAATTGTCCATCCGTTCTATAGTGAGTGAGAACGAAAAGATCGAGTGATGCAGTTCGTTAAAAGCCATCCAGTATGGGACGCTAGGGAGGCGAGTGATCCTTTCGTTCGCAGAACAGCAGGGTTCGGTGAGCTAGAGAGAAAACATAAGACGACGACTTTCACATCAGGCCGAATTACTGCGAATCTAGCTCTACCCAAACTAGAGCTTCTGTCTTTCGATAAGTGACCCACAATTTAGTGGAGGTTCATTCGGCAGTTTCAAATATACGTTGCCTCCAAGACCAATGACGATGAGCAACGCTTCTTATATTTGCTTCATTACTGTAAGGGGAAGGCTAGGAGTGCAACTGAAGATTGCATCATGTTGTCACCCGCATTTGGGTACGATAGGGTATGCACGATCTTCAAAGATCTATTTAAGCGCTCACAAGAGGTAGCGCGCTCACTTTTAGATGGATTGCTGGAGGGTCTCAACATGAATGGCGTGGACGCTGATGTGTTGTTGNTCAAATGGAAAGCTGTATGATCGCCTTGGAACAAATGGGTTACACAGCTGATCTTAATTCACTTAGCACGTTGGAACAAATAGTTAGAGTTGCCGTATTCCCTGCAACAGAAGCGGGCGGAGACCGTGGATCGGATTGCTCAAAACAACACGGAGCCAAATTTTAGCTAACTGACAGAATTTATATCTGCAATGGTTGGAGTAGCAAGCAGTCGCTTTTTGCAACTTGCTAACCGAAGTAGAACAAGTAATAGACCCGTCCATTCTATAAAACCCTCGAGCAGGCGTCAATCTCCAATAAACTATAGTGTAAATTTGGTCAAGAATAATAACGATCTACGCACATAACAATGTGATTTGTGCTGAAAACCATCTGGTTTCATGTTGTTCGAGTTTTTCGGAGTTAAATACCCAAGAAAGATGGGACAAGGCACGAAGATACGGTTTGTGTTTTATATGTTTAATGAAACGCCATCGAGCAAATGACTGCGGTAATAAGACCACTTGTGACGTGAGTGGTTGCGGAAGTAAACATCACAAGTTACTTTACATCGTCAAGAGAGTCCTTAGCACACGGCATGAACCAATCGGTGAGGGCCACTGCGGAACAACTATACTTCGGACCAATAATGTGAGCCTGGATTATTACCGGTCAAAGTAAGAGCTGGATTATAAGAGATTATGGGGTATGCCCCACTAGATAATGGATCGGATGCGACGCTTATTAAGGGGTTAAACCAACAAAGAAATCACTCAAAAATAATTACAATGAGTGGATCAATAGAGTAAAACTTTGTCAGCAGTGCTTTTCAGGTACTGTCTCCAAATGAAGCAGAATCAGTATGTGTGGAGCAAGCTGTTGTTCTAAGAGAATTGCCCGTTCATAAGCCGGTTGGAGACATCTCTGAAAGGATGAAAAATGGTCCCATTTGGAAGACCTTCCAGTAGATTACTTTGATAGAGAAGTTCTACTATTAATTGGGTGTGATATACCGGATGCGCATTGGATACTCGATCAAAGGCTCGGTGGTGGAAAGAATCCTTATGCAGTTCGGATGCTATTAGGTTAGGTGATTATTGAACCTTCAAGTTTCGCTTAGTATAAAATGAAATCGGTCAACTGCTTGGCTGCAGAAGACTCAAATTGAATGCATCAGGTAATGCGAACATACGATGCAGAATTTACAGACGCCCAGTTATTAGATCCAGGCATCTGCGTAGGCGATACGGAGGCTATCGATATTGTAGAGTCCGGTACAATGTTGTCGATGGGCACTTCGTGGTCGCTCTGCCATGGAAGAAGGGTGTCAATACCGGTATGCGAAACTATGCGTCAGCGCTCTGGAGGTTGAACAGCCTAACTAATGACGAGGCGCTACGGTTCCGCACAAATGATGAAGATGACTATAGAAAAGGGATATGCCGTGCCAATCCCAGGGGAACAGTTACACTGCGACTTTCCTCCGCATTGATACCTGCTTCATCCTGCAGTACTAAACCCAAAAAAGCCGAAAAAGCTGCGTATAGTGTTGGATTGTACGGCCAAACATAAGGAGCAATCGTTGCTTGACATGCTCTATCAAGGTCCAGACACCACTGCAAATTTAGTGGGTATACTTCCGCGATTCCGTAAGGAAAGTGTAGATGTTACAGCAGACATAGAAGAGATGTTTATGCAAGTGAAGGTACCAAAACATGGTAAAGGCGCCCTGAGGTTTCTCTGGTGGCCACAGGGTGACCCACTCAAGGATCCCGAGGAATATCAAATTACAGTTCAGCCGTTTGGTGCAACTTCTTCACCGATTTGTGCTAAGTTTGCTTTGAACAGGGCTGCAAGAGAATTCGGTACGGGTTATGAGCGTGCGGTGCTAAAAGCCATAGAAGAAAACTTCTACGTTGACGACTGTCTCGCATCGTTCCCGACACGTGATGAAGCCTTACGTTTTGCGAAGAAAATAACCGAACTATTGGAAAAAGGTGGTTTTGACCTGAGAAGGTGGTCACCTAATTCACCCGAACTCGCAGAATCGCTCTCGGAAGACAGCACGAGTACCAACCTGGTTCACTTGCCTCAATTTGATTCCAGTTGTCAGAGAGCTTTGGGCGTGCAGTAGGACACATAAGAGATGTTTTTACGTTCCAGTTTCAGCTACTAGATAAGCCGGTGACAAGAGGAGGTGTGTTATTCAGCTTCAGTTCGTGGTTTTACCCACTAGGTCTGGTAGCCCCTCTATGCCTCCCAGGAAAGCAGTTGCTGCAAACATTGTGTAAATCCAAAATGGGTTGGGACCAACCTCTCAATACTGTAGATGCCAGTATTTAGGATTTAGATTTATAGTGATAACGGATCAAATTTCGTGGGTGCCGTATCAGAACTAAAAGACAAAATTAAACGCTGAGATGAACACAATAATAACGACCGTCTTGCATGTGATGGAATAAAATGGTTCTTTAACCCTCCCTCCTCAAGTCATAGGGGAGGCGTATGGGAGGGAACGAGCCGCTCCGTGAGCAGGTTACTGCTTTTGTTGACAAAGGAGCAGTTAATGCATGAGAAAACGCTGTCAACTTGTTTTGAAGAAATCGAGAGGATATTGAATAGCCGACCGCCAGTGCCGTGCTTATTGGATGATAAAGAAAGAAGAGCTCTGTATCCGAAACGTTTATTATTGTTGACGGAGAACGATCAAAGCCTAGAAGGTCTCGCAATGATGGGGAGTCACACAAGACGGTGGAGACAAGTCAATCACTTTGCTAATAACTTCTGGCGTCGATGGATGGGAGAGTACACACCAACCCTGCAAATGCGACAGAACTGGCTTTCGAATCATCGCAATTTCAAATCAGGCGACATCGTATTGCTAGCATCTGAAACTCCAACACATGGCAAATGGCCCATGGGCACCATCGATGCTGTGGAGACAGACGGAGATGGACTCATGCAAACGGTTGCGGTGCATACAGATGGCGGCAAGATAAGAAGGGATGTACGTCGTTTGTGTCTATTAGAAGGAGCCGACTAGCACCCGGGTGATAGGCTAGGGGTTGTGCAGGCGTACTGCTGTAAGTCCTGTACATCTCAAGGGAAGGACAGGACAGGACAGGATAGGATAGGGCAGGTCACAGAACTTGCGGCGAAGCCAGAAGCAGACCAGTTTCTTGCACCAATGAGCTTGGGAGCACAACGGTGCTGTGATAATTGTGTTATTTCGTTCACGTAGATGTGAGTGAGTGCGGTTCTAGAAAAGGGAAACGCACTTTTGATGGTTCCTCTGAGTGACAGTACACGCCTGAGGTTTTGTCAGGATCAAAGCTCACAACCAACCGCTTCGAGCTACCCAGAGTAAGAAGTGTGTTGGGAGAAAAAACATGACCTAAAAGTGGTGATGCTGGATGTTGAGAGGTTTCAGTAAAATTTGGTGCACAGTGAATTAAAAATGGAGCTGAGGGAGTTGGAGAAATCAAAGTGGAGTATGAGATAAAGAGTNAAGTGTATGGAGGTGGACGGAGACGGACCAGCTATTAGCGACCTTAGGCCCGGTGTCAGATACTATCGGGAACGTTGATGCCCTGGATGCGTCAAGCTTCAGCTTAAACTCGGCAATGGATTTTGATGCCACTACCTCCTGAGGCAGTTTGTTCCACGTATTAATTACCCGATGCGAAAAAAGGTGGCTCTCAGGCGTTTGAGTGCCCGAGGCTTGTGGAACTTCATGCTGTNAAGATACGGAAAGTTTCAATCAGGTTCCCCTTCAGCCTTCTTCGATTGAGTGAGAACAGGTTCAACCCCTGGAGGCGATCGGCATATGCCGCTCCCCGGAGGTGCGGGAACATGCGCGTGAACCTCCTCTGCACCCTTTCCAGAACCCCTTGGTCCTTCTTAAGAGCAGGAGAACAAGCTTGTACACAGGACTCAAGGTGCGGCCAAACAAATGCATGTTATAATAGTAATAATAACGGTATATTTCCCAAAGCCCTGGAGGCATGATATTGCGCATGATCAACTGTACAGCACTGCAAAAAATGACGGTCCAAAGATTAAATGAGAGAGTAGGAACGTAATTTTTAAACGGGTACAAAAGACATCTTAACCATGCATTGCGGTGAAAAACAAACACAAAGCGGACAAGGCCATATAATGCAGTACTGAGGGTGGTCTGATATGGAGATCACATCAATGTAAACGACTGTCATATGAAGAACATTGAGGAAGACACAGAACTGGAGGTGAAAGTATCCGCTCGGAAGAAAATGCGCGGAAACGAGTTCGGAGAATAGGAGGGTAGTGAACGTGAAAGCTGTATAATTTCAGAGGAAGAGCTGCGGTCAAACCAAGGAAGTACAACGGAATACAATAGGACGACTAATGGATCATAAAAAAACTGTTTCAAGAATCGATACGGATGAACTGACTTCTTAAGCAAGGAGTAAGGGGCTTCAGGGCTTCACCGTTAACGGATTGACTGTTTTATATTACTTATGTTATTCAGGCGTTTGTCGCATTGATATGGGACTGACTACACGCTGGACACCCAACCTTAAAACACCTTGTAGGTAAGGCAGGGGGTGTGATCCTCAACCTGGTCCTGAATGCGAACGCATGAAGTCACAAACGTTGAATACAACCGCTCCCAACAACCGTTGCCGGAGCCGAATTGTCCATCGCGAATTTAAACCCCAAGACTTCGGCAGCCCCAAACCAACCGAATCTGTGACAAAAAGGCGAAACTTGGCAGTCTGGGGAAATACCCAGCTGATAAGGGTAGGGGGGAGAAACAGCAGGCTGCGAACGAATGTACAGAGAGATTTATTGCCCAAAATTGTACGAATATATTTATCTATATATGAATATATACATATGTATATGCAAAGGGAAAATGAACTGCGGTGTTTCAGTGGGATTGACATAACAGAACGGAAATCTGTAAGGTAATGCGAGTGTATACACAAACGGCGCACTAAGGATTTCCATTTGGGAGTATTTAGTCACAATACGTGTATAAATATGTAGCGGAATTATTTCTGTTCCACAAATCCAGTTTGAAGCTGAAGCCGTGGACTGATAAGAATTGGGGTTAGAAAGTGGATACAGCTACCTGGTTAGCATGTGCCTCGGAGTTGAGCCAAATGAATCAAATGATACCAATATGGGAAGCATTTGGATTATGGCGGAAGCGGTCACGGTGCGCCTAGGAGTATGTACTGGAACCTGTTTTGTTTCACAGGTCCGGCTCTGAAGCTGAATCCATGTTCAAAACCACTTGGCTAACAAGTATCACGGTCATATTGTGTGATGGAGATGTAGTTTTCAAGTAGTGTTAACCTGTCTGAAATCCCTCTTCAGTTCGGAGGTTCACACCTGTTATGGAAAGAGCATTTTCCACTTTTAGGAATTCCTGGAGCATCATTTTGAATTTAATCACTAAAGCGCATCCGAGGATCTCAGCGGGAAGCAGATTCCATAACCTAGCGTATTTAATCAGGAAGAAGTTGGATCGGAGGGAGAGGCGAGACCTGATGATCAGCAATCTGGAACTACTATTACGCAAGTAATATGTAGATGTCGAAAATGTGCGTAGTGCACTCAAGGAAGAAAACATGCGGTGGTGGATTATCCTATGTAGTAAGCAAAGGTTTAGTTTCATGCGACAAAGCCATAGGGATTCTTTACTGAGGACGGCGCATCGATCCTTATAGTTAGGCTGGAAATTATATCCTAGTAAATGATTGGTAAAAGACCGTTTGATATTTTCCAAGGCTATTTAATCGCTTTTACGGGTGTTAGAAAATATTATTAGCGTGGACTTACGATGGGGGCGTAAGAAAGCAGCTTAGATTCAGGAAGTATAAGAGATCTATTTATGAAGCCAATGATTCTTTTGGCTTTTGAAAGTTGAAAGGAGATATGTTCGGAGAAGTTTAATGTGTCAGAGTAGTGTATTTCGAGATCACGTACTGAGGGGTTGTAGGTGATAGGTGTGTCGTGTATTAGGAAAGATTGTGTGGGAATATGGCATTGAACCGTCATAATAATGTAGAGTGGGAATAGCACGACAGGATCCCTGGATGTCACTGCGCGCTTCAACCTGAACAACGCTCTATTGACCGTACGTGATGCAGCAAGACACTGGGCAGAGGAGTTAAAGGCGGAGTTCAGAGTGCCTCTTAGGTCCCTGATCTCTGGCACTACTGCCATAACCACACAACCATAGCCTCCACATCGCGAGACCATGCTTGCACTGCATCTAGGTAAAGCTAGAGGTCTACACCCTGATGCCAGCCAAAGAGTTTAACGTCGTCCGCAAAGATGAATGTCCAGTTTGATAGACGGGGGACTAGATTATTGATGAAGACAAGGAACAACAATGGTCCAAGTACTGAGCCTTGTGGGACTCCTCTACAAGCGTGCCAGCTGTCCGACCAAACCCCTTTCCCCCTTACGCGAAAGGTTCTCCCTGTCAAGTAGCTTTCAGTCCACCTGACTAAATTAGGGTGGTTGCCTATTGATCCTAGCTTGCCTTGCAGCAGCCGATGGTTTATGGAGTCGAAAGTCCTACTGAAGTCCAGATAGCAGACTTTGACTCCCTCCCCTCTGTCCAGCTGCTCAGTCACGGCATCCAGGAAAGCTAGCAGATATGTGAGGCACGAACGGCTTTTACGAAACCCGCGCTGAGCCTCCGCAAGCAGGCCGCATTGGATGGGGTAGCTAGCCATCTTATCTCTGATTAACCTTTCTATGACCTATAGGATCACGGAGAGTAAGCTCACGGGTCTATAGTTAGTGGCCAGCTCCCTGTCGTTCCGTTTGTGGATGGGGGCCACAGTAGCTACTTTCCAGTCCTGTGGCAATGTGAATATCGCCATAGACAGATTGAAGAGGCGAGCTAAGGGGGCTTCCAGGATACTCCCTAGAGGACTTAGCAGTGCCGGGTGCCGGTCTCACTGCTTTTCCTCTATCTAAACTCACCAGGGTCTTTGCCACCTCCTCCGGTAGGGAAACGATTTCCTCCATCTGCATGGATCCTGCTNATCCTGCTGACTGGTGCATGGGTCGCAGGATACCCTCATCCTTGGTGTGTACACTTTGTAAGTACTCACGCAATGCGATGGCCTTCTGGGAGTTTGTCGCTGCGGGGGTGCTGTCCTTTTGCCTGATAGCCGACTGAGTCCCTTGTATTGAATTCAGGCTGAACATACCCGCTTAGGGTAGCGCTTTGGTTTCTTGGCGATGGAAAGCTCAAAATTTCTTTTGGCATCCAGGAGGATGTGGTCGAAATACTTTCGCTTACGTAAGTATAGGTGTCTAACATAACCACCTGTGGCACAAAGNGCTGCCACGCGGCTCGCGTTCTAATTAGGGCTTTTTCATTCGACTGGACCACAAGGGTAGGATGGTTCTCGACCTAACGGGACACAGGTGCGAAACTATTGGTGAGAGTCAGCAGGTTATCCCTGATCAAATCCCACGATTCTACAGCCTCATAGTTTGCCTCTGACCAGACCATGGTTTGAGCCGCAGCCTGGAGACATTCGGTATTCATGCGCCCATAGCGTCGCCTCAATTTGACTTGAGAAAGTGGAAGAGCACAGCCGTATTGGCATCGGATACTAGCGTGGTCATCTCTGCCTAGCGGTGCACCTATCGCAGTGTTCCTGATATCATTCCTGCGTTTGGTAAACACAAGATTTAAGGTGCTAGGAGAGTTACTCACTCGCCATCGGGTGGGATCGGTGACGTGCTGAGTGAGCGCAAATGCGCAAATCACCTCTAGTAGTTCATCCTCGAAGCTGCTCACTGGCGCATATTCCATTTCCCATTCAATCTCACGGGCATTGAAATCCCCAAAGACAATAACCCTACCTGCCTGAATTGTTGTGTGCCGGAGAAAATCTATCAGCAACTCATTTTCGTCGATGCCTGCGCTTGAGCTACGATAAACACAGAGAACTGGTAATCTTACGCAGGGAGTCTCTCGGGCTGGTGATGATTTCGGAGAGCTTCGCAATGGCCTCATCGTAGGCG